TGAAATAAAATAAGACATAATACCTTTTTGAGAAAACAAAATGTGTATACTGAGAAAAAATAAAAAAAATTCAGCTATATTATTAGGCAAAGAATTGTTAAAGTAACACTGTTTAACCTAAGGCAGTCAATATGGCGGAATTAGAGCGAGAAGTTGCCAACCGATAACACCTTGTATCATGATGCAATAATACAAGGTGATATCAGTTGGCAACTTCTCCCTCTAATTCCGCCATATTAGGTTTGTATAGTAACCAATAGTCAGTACTAATTTGTACTGGAACCTGCAAATTTTTACTGGAAAAGTGTATGATAACCCAAAAAATTTGCAGGAGAGCAACAAATCGGGAGCGCAACAATACGGGAGAGCTGCAAATTCTTGCTAGTGAAATTTCTACTAGCAGAAATTAGCTAGCAGAAGAAGAAGAAGAATACATGTCAAAATCCGCCATTTGTTGAATAGGTTTAGCACAAAAAAAAGTAAAATGAGTGGAAATCAAAATATTAATGATGTACTGCGTAAGTGCTTGTGTGAAAAGCAAAGAGTTTAAAACTGATTTATAAATAGTAACATGTTTACAGCAGAATATCAAAAGGGTGCAACAACTATTCACTTGCAAGTTTTTACTAGTTTTGCGTTCAGTAACTTTTTCTGCTAGTTTTCTCTTCTTGTCAATTTTACGCTCTATTTTGCTTTTACGCTCTGGCTGCAATGTTTTACAGGAGAAGTTACTATACAAACCTATTAACTGCCTTAGCTGAAACAGTGTTACTTCTTTAACAATTCTTTGCCTAATAATATAGTTGATTTGTTTTTATTTTTTCACAGTATACACATTTTGATTTCTCAAAAAGGTGTTATATCTTATTTTATTTCATTTAATTGCGAATATACTATAAAAAAAAAAAACAAATTTTGTCTAGAAGAAAATATGAAATTTTATATTTTTCCGCCAAATGGGGATTCATTTCTTCCCGTTTTTCTTCTTATTCTACTGAGCTAAGGCAGTGTCAAATCGAGCTGTCACAACTTATACCACCTTGTATTATAGCATCATGACCTTGTATTATTGCATCATGTGCAGTAGTACCAACATTATGTTAGTCCTGAATATCGCTGCCATATCAATAGGGTTACCATTACAAGGTGTTCTCTGCGAAAGATGTTCAGCCCACTTCTTTCGCCTGATAACCACCGTGGGATAATTTCTTTTATTTAAAAACCCCACAGATTCTGTTAGGTGGGTTTTAACCCACTTCAAACTGCTCAATTTGCCTCGGTAAATGCCGTTTTTCGCCCTTTTTCAAACGGTTCCCTAGGCGTCTGTGGGAGGCCCCGGGCGGGTGCGGCTTTTCCAAAAGGGGGGACTGTGCCCTTTCGAATGGGGGGCGCGTTTAGGGGACCACGCCCCTCTTCCTCCGCCACCATCCCAAAAATGTAAGGCAAATAAGTAAACATTTCCCGAGAATTCTCCGTAGGAGGGGTTATAATCCCTAAGCACTTATCATATTCGCCTTTATAATAATCTTACGCCGCACACATAATACTCATAGTTGCTAAACTCATAATAAAATGTGTGTTAAGTGTGTGTGTGTGTTCCGCACACTTGTATTTGTTTGAAATGGTTTGTTATCGTACATTTTGTTAGGTGAAAATTTCAAGTTTAACAACAAATTACTCGTAAACTATCAGTTTCATCGTCGTCCGGTTTTCAGTTTTGTGATGTGTACGACCCCCTCTACACCTCCTATAAAGTCATCTTTTTCTAGGCGTGGTGCACTCTCGCGAAGTTTCCCCAAATTTTCAACTTGGAACAAATGCAGTTTGGCTCCAAATCTCAAATTAGAAAACAAAATATTGGGATCGATTGAGCTGAGTACAACGGTCTCCTTTTTTTTTCAAGGGAAAAAACAACAATCGCAATTATCAAAGGTTAAAGTTCAAAATAAGCTATTTTTGAAATCAAGATTTCTTAAAAACAAATGGATGAATAATTTGGTATATGTACGTACTTTATATATATGTATGTTGTATAGTTCTTACAAAAATTGAATTGAATCAATGTAAAATAATTATTAAAAAAACACCGGGCCTGTTCGAGGCACGTAATAAAAGCGGCATTACTGACGTACTGATGAAAAATGGCAACAGTGTTGCAACTGCCCAAACGATAATACATTGCTAGAAATTCACACAGAACGCGATACTTTAATAATTCGCGCAACACTGCGATTGTGATTGCAACCAGTGTTGCCGCGCATAATTTTTAGTGGTAGCCAAATTCCCTTAAAAAAGGGCTAAAAAAGAGATAACAAAAAATTCGTTGTGGCTAAAAATGGTAGCTAAAATTTTTTACTTACATATACATATATAAGAATACACGTAAACATTTTCAATAAGTAATGGTATATAAAAACAATGAACTTTGGAAAAAAAGCTAATATTTTATCCAACCAAAAACCTTTTTGTACCAGCTGCTTGCTGGTTCCATCAAGTGATTGTACCATCAGGCTCGAAGAATATAACTTTCCATCATGCTGGTACAATATCTATTCCTTTACAAATGAGATCGAGGAAAGATCGAAATGATTAGAACCGAAATTTCATAATTTTTCCAGCATTTTGTTTAACATTGTTTTTCTTTGTAATTCACAACTGCAATATCGTGAACGTAATCTTCCACAAATACAGCTTTGACTCATATAGCGCAAGAAATTTCCGCCAAAATACTTTTTACTTAGAAAATTGAGCTAATTTCACCACTAACGATACCAGCATGCTGGTATAATCACACCACAAGAACATACACGGTCAATTGACTTGATGGGTCATTTAACAAATTTGCAAACAAATTTATTTTAAACTATAGTTAAATCGTTAACAGAAAAGTTAACAGCCCCAACACTTTTACAGTATGTATGTATAAAAACGTAAGGAACATACAATACATATATGTATATATATCAGTCTTTCTTAGTTTAAAAATTCATCTCTTACATAAATGCAAAAAAAAAAAACATATTAAGCATATACAACTTTTTCATGCCAAGTATGAATAAATTCTAAAAAGGGCTAAAAAATTTTAAATTTAGGTGGCCGAAACAAGTATGTGGTAGCTAAATCTAGTCACCAAAGGGCTAAAACGGCAACACTGATTGCAACCCGAACAAGCCCACCTTTTGCAGGGAACACCTTTCTGCGTAGGCGGCCTTCGGCCGTACTTGGGATTATAACCCTCACAAAGTAGAATTCTCTTTCTGTGTTGCGAAGAAAAGGCACTGAACACCTTTTGCAGAGAACTCACCTTTCTGCGTAGGCGGCCTTCGGCCGCATTTAGGGATTATAACCCTCACAAAGTAGAATTCTCTTTCTGTGTTGCGAAGAAAAGGCAATGAGCACCTTTTGCAGAGAACACCTTTCTGCATAGGCGGCCTCCGGCCGCACTTAGGGATTATAACCCTCACAAAGTAGAATTCTCTTTTTGTGTTGCAAAGAAAAGGCGCTGAACACCTTTTACAGAGAACCCACCTTTCTGCGTAGGCGGCCTTCGGCTGCACTTAGGGATTATAACCCTCACAAAGTAGAATTCTCTTTCTGTGTTGCGAAGAAAAGGCAATAAACACCTTTTGCAGAGAACACCTTTCTGCATAGGCGGCCTCCGGCCGCAATTAGGGATTATAACCCTCACAAA